TATATTTAGAGTTTCAAATTGTCTCTCTCAAATTTCTAATTTTAGATCTCAATCAAAAGACCTTTCAAACTGTACTCTACGATTACATAATTAGTATGTGGGAATAGATCAGCAACAATACACTATAGTGATTTTTGTGAAATGACTATCTTTTCTTTGAGATTTCATTTCATAATGTCAGAGATCATTCATTTTGTTTTTGTGGATTACAAGATCCAAGCCCTTACATGAACTGATTGCTTTAATAATACATCCTTGTGTAATCTATTTCTAGAATGAATCAACTATGGCTATAATCTATAATCCAGGAACCTGTCAGTTTTTGACTAAGATCCATTTATTTAAAGTATCTGCACTTCCAGCATAGTATTCAAATTTTCCTGTATTATTCTAATCATTGCTTAGCTAGACGTTGGTTTTAAACATTTTCAATATCATATTCAACAATATCAACTCCAATTACTTTACGAGCCTTTTAGGATAAGCAAATACCTATAGCTCCTGTTCCACAGTATATATCAAGCACTAAGATATTTTAATTAATCTAGGTGAACTATTCTATTAACCTTAGCATCTAGTTTGAATTTGTATTTTTAGATTTTTCTCTATGCTTTTATTTTGTTGCTAAGTTAAAAGATTTGTTAAGTTGTTGTTTCTTTTTGTTTTTTGTTTTCGCTAACCATTGTTATTATTTTGAAGGGGTTCTAAGTTTTATACTTTAGTCGATAGTTTAGCTTAATCTATTAGCAATTTACCATATCTTTCCATTTATTAAAAAGGCATATTTATTGTTATAATTTTAACTAGTCCAAGATGTTAGTTTGTATTAGTTTTATTGCTGTTAATGCTAATTTTGATTCATATTTTAGTCTATTTTTTATTTGAATTCTTGGTGTCATTGTTTAATATAATTCATCGTGATTATCTGTTAGTTCATTTTTATATTGCATTAATTTATAATTTGGAAGTTCATTTTATTCGAAAATTCGTCAATTTCTTGAGACTCGGGGTTTTGGGGTTTTGGGG